ATTTATACGGCCGAGGCTAAACTTTATATTAACGGCTGCACTATTAATAATCTAGAGGCCTAATTCTACTACCTTTACTTTAGCCTTTTACCTACTGTCTATTAGATTCTCTTTTCCTTTATACAATCTCCAGCCAACTAAACACCAGCCGGCCTTCTCGAGAAGCTCCGGGTTAATTACGGAGAAGTTAATTAAAATAAAAAAATTAGCCTTAAGCTCTTTACCTTATAATAGAAGTTTTGAAAATCTATATCTTACTTCCTTATCCGCTTTAAAGAAGTCCTTTACCGAATTAAAGTTAATATATAGCTAAATTAGGCTATTATTAATTTATTAATATCCTCCTTAAACGACGAGTAGTTCGAGCGCCTCCGTAAACGGCCGGAAGTTCTAGACTCCTATTCGGAGCTTTATACATTTTTGAAACGTTTTAATAGTAATAACTTTCTTAGGGGGAGTAGTATAGAGCACTCTAATACCGCCGTCTATATTAATAAAAGGGAACTGATAAATATTGCTGATACCCGGGCTCGGCCTACCCCGGTAGGGAATTCTAGTAATTATAGTAGTAACAATCTAATAGAAATATAATAATAAAAATAAAAGAAGAAAGGTACTTATATAATTTACGGCTCACCCTCCTATTAGGCTAATAAGTACCCAAGTAAGAAGGTCCAAATTTAATATATTTGGATACTCGAATTAGTTAGAAGCCCGGAGGAAGATAACGAAATTAATAATAATAATAAATAATAAGTATAAATATTAGCCTAATAAAACCTAATAAATACTAGGGCTCCCTATAAATTTAGCCGAACTTTAGAAATTCCTAGCCCAGGAAGGCTATATATACCCTACTTACGCATTAATAGTAGCGAATCTTATTAAAAATATATATACTAAATACTACTATAACTATAGAAAAAGGCCGGTACTATACAAATCCGATAATAAAGTCGGCAGAGTGGTAATCTTTACAATTAAATAGAACTAAATATTATAAGGCATTTCAAAGCTTCAACAAGGAGCTTAGGGGTACCCGGCGTAGTAGCCATCACACAATTCGAGGGTATAGCTAGTATTAGTATATACGTAAAAGATAAGTATTAAGGTAATTAATAGGACTTTCTTAGGGAGATATACTTAATTAATTTTATCGTTAATTATTTATTTAATCGTTACTCTTTTATATAAACCCGGGTAGTTAAGAGTTCTTAGGAGTGCTTAGGAGTACCGGAGGTACTAGAGCGCCTATATTCTTTCTTATATATAGCATTTCTAACCATTTTTCGAAGGGAGAAGTAGGAAGTAATATTATAGGGCTGGCGCCCAGGGATATATATTTACCTAGCATATAAGTTAAGCGTACCCTCTAATTGGGTGTACGGGCTAATTAGTTGCCATTAGCCGTCTTAGCGCTAGATGTACTGCGTGCTATTAGGTGCATCCCTCGGGAGCCGCACGGGCTACATTTCTAGCCTTAGCATTTCTAATACCTTCGATACCTACCGCATTTCGTATATTTAGCTGATAGCTCTATGCCAGCCATACTAGTATAGAACCTCCTCCTCTTTGTTAGTTATTTTAAGCTCTTTTTAAGGCCTACCTACGTATATACCTCGTAGATCCCTTATAATTATAAGAATTTTAGAGAGAGATAATAATAGTAGTAATATATTTATATAACTTAATTCTACAATAGGAATTTAATTAGAAATCCCTAGAAGAGCATTTTATCACATATATAATTAATTATAACGGCGGTTAGTAAAGACTAGTACTACAATTATCCTACTGTAAAATCTATAATTATAAAACTTTTACGCTTATAATTAATATCCTACGTAGTTAAAAACGGACCTAGAAGCTTAAACAACGTACTTAAGTAAAATATTTAGTCGGCTACTAATCTAATAATATTTATTATATTGAAAACCTATATATAAATTAATTAATTATAATAAGAAATATAATCTTTAATAAAGACAAAATCTTTATAAATGAAATTAAGAAACTCTATAATACCCTTAATATCTCCCTTAAAGAGTTGGCTATATAATTGAATAATATTTATTAATTAGAATTTAATATATCCGATCCGTTATTTACTAGAAGCGCCGAAAAAGAAGATAAAGAGATTAATCCGGTCATTAAATTCCTACTTACTACTAATAGTGCTATAATTTCTAAACTAACCGAATCTATATATATATAAAAGGAGGAATAAAGAGAGGGTATTGGAGCTCTATTATTAAAATTACGGCTATAAGACAATTAGTAAAATATAATAATAAATAAAGAAGAGGAGACGGGTTATTTTATTCCCTTAGAAAATTTAGTATTATTCCTTATTAATAGTCTTAGTACGTTACACCCTCAATAGAACTAGCTAATATATAATAAATACCTCTATTAAATTAAATCCTTTTTAATTACTTTAAATAAAATAAACGTTAAATTATACAATAGATAGCCTATCGATATGGAAACCTTTAACCGATTAAAACGTATAGCTATTAATAAAAAGGAGGAAGGAGAGAAGTTCTCTAACGATTTAAAATTAATTAGAAATATTATATAAATTATTATAATAACTTTAATACTTTAACTAATTTCTACTAACGAGAATTCCCTCTTCCTCCTCAGGTTTATAGAAATTTTAATTATTATCCGTTTAGTAATCTTTTCTATAAAACTAAGTAAAGATATATAAAGAATTATAAAGAGAAGAAATTCTAGGCGTAAATTGATAAGAACGAGTAGCCTACTAATTTAATTATTAAATTACTTAGCTCAATAGAAATGTATATATACAAATTCAATATAGAAGGGTATTACTTTAAATATAAAGCTCGTTTAGTAATTTAAAAAAATCAACAATTACGTAATAACGTACGAAAAACGTACGCTGCTACCCTCGCAATCCGATCCTTTAGGATTATAATAGTAATCGATACTTATTTCAATTTCGAACTCAAATAGTACAATACGGTTAATACCTTTATTAATATAGTACTAAACGAAATTATCTATATAAAGCTACCGCGCATTTAGGAATATAAGGGTAAAGTATTAAAACTACTATATATTCTATATAAGTTATAATATTCTCTACTATTTTAATAAAAAGAATTTACTAAAACTCTTATAGAAACTAACCTTACTCCTATCCCTATAGAATTATATATATTAATTAAAGAGAATATAATTGTTTTCTTCTACTTTAATAATATTATTTTCGCTTATAAACTAAAATACTCGCAATTAGTAGAGGGAATAATTATTACTCTTAAATAATACTATTAATTAACCAACAATTAAAATATTTAATAATTTTTAAGTATCGAGGTTATTCGAGACCGCCTATACCGTTTATTCTAACTATCCTAGCAAAAGTATATCTTCAAAATAATTAAAGGAATTAAATAGAGAAAAAACCCCTTAATACCCCTATAATAATTAAAAAATTTATTTCTTAACCTTAATCCTCTATATAGTATGTAATTAAATTATATTAATAAATAATCAGTATAGTCTTATACTTTACTATAATTACTAGACCCAATATTACTTTTATATTATCCTAATTAATTCGCTTCCTAACTAACCCCGGACCAGTTTATTACTTGGTAGTCAAGCGAATAAAGGTATACCTTTATAGTACTAATTATTATACCCTCCAATTAAAAGAAGGTAATAAATTTAAAATTTATATTAATATATCCTTTATTAATAATACTAACGACCGAAGAAGCTTATAAGGATTTACAATATAATTATTTAGTAGTATAATCGATTAGTATATTAATAAATAAAATATAGTTATTATTTTAATAACCGAAGTAGAATTATTATTCTTCGCTTAAGAAATAAAGAAAGGTATATAGGCTAAAAGGCTCTTTAATTCCCTTACCTTTCAATTTAGGATTGAAGTTATTCCCCTCGATTATAATAATAAATAGACGATACACTTTATTACTAAAGAGAATTCTAAACTCTAAACTAAGTTTAAATATATTAATATTTACAATTATTAATTTAAAGAAGGCTAATAATACAACCTTATTAATATATACTACATATCTACCGGTAAAATAATTACCGATAGATTTACTAAAGCGTTCGATGCGCGTAAGTATTAAGAGTTTATAAAGTAATTTAATATAATAAATATTAAAAAGAAATAAAGAGAGAGAAGGGAATTAGTAATAATAGAAGCAAGCTATTTAATTGTAATCGACGAAGAGGGTTAGCTAAAGAGAGCGATTAAGGGATAAAAATCTAAGAGAGTATTATTATAAGTATAAATAGCCTTCCTATATTATACGGTTGAGATAACCTCTAAAAATTGAGAGGTACTAATATAGTAATTCAATTATATAAGGAGAAAAAAGGAAAAAAGCAAAAAGATTAGTCCCAGTAAAATTTGAACCTACGACCTTTGGGTATATTATCTAGAGGTAATCCGTTAATTATACTTTTAAATATATTTAAGAGATAGTAGACGGATAGTTAAAAATAATATTCCAACGCTCTAACTACTAAACTATGGAACTTAGTAGTTTAATTATTAAAAAGGGTACTATTAACCTTCCTTATTAATAGAAAAGGGAATAAACAATACCTTTAAAGGTAATTATTAGAAAAGGAATAGGAAGGGTGTAGAATCTATAAATAATTTTAAAGACAACAGCCTCTTTAAATTCTAACTCAATTGGGGAGGTGTATTAGATAAAAGAGGTAACTAGGGTAGCTAGCCTAAACCTTACGTAAGCGGGCCACACTAGCATTACCTCGATACTAGATTTTCTATATAAGGGATTTCCCCAATACAGAGCTCTATACAATACACAGTCTGCACCCTCTACTGAATCAATACCCCTGCTCGTGCCCGTATTCTACAGGACTCAAGCTCACTGGGCCTGAATTGGGGAGAGAGTTTCTTGGCAATCGTCAATGCCACTGCCGTCGGCTACTTTGAGCCTCGGCTCGAGGGGTAAATGGGGTCAGCCAGTGGGTCACTCGGGCAAGCGCATCCACTTTTTTTTGTTCATTGTACAGTACCTCTGTCGCCTACGTAGTGACGGTAGTCTACGGCGTATGCTCGGCCTCTCATATCATCTCAGCGGCCTATGTAGATAGCGACGGAATGTGTAACTGCCCCACGTTTTTTGTTCCTCCCAATCCAATCCCAGTTCAACGGGCAGTTGGAGAAACTAGAGAGACGGGAGATGGGGGAATGGGGAGAGAAGAACGTGCGGGCGGAAAGATCCCCGCGAAGCGGGTACACACTACACAGACGGGTACATCCCTAGGGAGATAGGATGGAATGAGAACAGACAGGTACCACGACTGCGGAATCAAGCACAGCAAGCATCACGGACCACTATCATGGGATCTGATCTGAAGAAACAGATGGGACATGGTCGACGACATGGTGAGCGGAGGATACCGTAGCCTGACACTGGCTCTCAGTTGGGGTAGGATTGGTGAGATCTACTATGTATCTCTTTCAGTTTTGGAGACAAAGCCTCGGCCTGCAGAGATATACATGCCCTCAAGGTACCCTACAATAAGTCCGGCCAAGGTTTCATGTCGGTGGTGGTTTGTCTCCCGTGCCCCGGTCCCCCCCCCCGTCTTGCCCGTCTCCATCGACAACCATCCCCCCATGGGCCACCTCCGCGAGTAAACAATATCCACGAGACAAGCCCAAAAGTGTCCACTTGTTCCGACTTCCGAGCTACCGAGTTGTAGTCGGCAGCACCCCTCAAGGTGTACATCAAACCCACCGCCTCCACGTCTGCCTCATAACTTGCCTCGCCTCCCGCGTCTGCCTCACTGCCCTGCTTTCTCTTTTTATTCTTTTTCCCTTTTCCGCCTCCCGTTCCCGTCTTCACTACTTGCTATTCTTCTTCCTCTTCTTCTTCTTAGCTCCACCATTGTCCGTGGTTATCGAGTAATGTTGGCTTCCATTGTGCGATCTGAGGCTCGGTCTACTACGCTTAGACACCTCTTTAGACAACCAACCTCCGCTGCTATTACCCCTCTTGTAAGTCATGGATGGTTTCCCTTCCTTGCTGCGCGCACGCGACTGACTGACGACCTTTCTCTCCTTCAGAGAATCTCCGCCATGGCGCAAACAAGGAAGAACAGCTCCCTCCCCGCCGGCTATGTCGAGGACAAGTCCAAAGGCCCCATGCTCCGCTTCCAGGAGTCTCTCCCCCGTCTTCCCGTCCCTACCCTCGAGGAGACGGCTGCCCGCTACTACCAGTCTTTGAAGCCCCTTCTCAGTCCCCAGGAGCTCGAGAACAGTAAGAAGGCCATTGACGCCTTCATTGCCCCCAATGGCCCTGGTCGCAAGCTCCAGGAGAAGCTCGTAGCCCGTCGCGAAGACCCCAAGCACAAGAACTGGCTCTACGAGTGGTGGAATGATGCGGCCTACCTCTCCTACCGCGACCCCGTTGTCCCCTACGTCAGCTACTTCTACTCTCACCGCGATGACCGCCGCCGCCGCGACCCTGCCAAGCGCGCTGCTGCCATCACCACTGCTGCTCTCGAGTTTAAGAAGATGGTCGACCAGGGCACTCTCGAGCCCGAGTACATGAAGAAGCTCCCCATCTGCATGGACTCCTACAAGTGGATGTTCAACGCCAGCCGCGTTGCTGCCAAGCCCGCCGATTACCCCGTCAAGTTCAGCGCCGACGAGCACAAGTACATCCTCGCCATCCGCAAGAACCAGTTCTACAAGATCTACCATGAGGTTGGTGGCAAGCAGCTCAACACCGCTGAGCTCGAGCAGGCCTTCAAGCGCGTCTACGAGCTCGCCGCCTCGCGCGCCCCCGCTGTCGGTGCTCTCACCTCCGAAAACCGCGACGTCTGGACCGACGCCCGCGCTACTCTCCTCTCCGCCGACCCCAAGAACGCCAAGGCTCTCGAGGCCATTGAGGCTTCTTCCTTCGTCGTCTGCCTTGACGATGCCGCCCCCGTCACCCTCGAGGAGCGCGCCCACCAGTACTGGCACGGTGACGGCCAGAACCGCTGGTACGACAAGCCTCTCCAGTTCATCGTCAACGACAACGGCACCTCGGGTTTCATGGGCGAGCACAGCATGATGGACGGCACGCCCACTCACCGCCTCAACGACTTCGTCAACGACGTCATCTTCAACAACAAGCTCGACTTCTCTGACCCTTCGGTGCGCTCCAACCTGCCCGAGCCCGAAGCCGTCAAGTTCAACGTCACCAAAGAGGTCCAGGCCGAGATCGACCGGGCCATTACTGACTTCAACAACGTCATCGGCCAGCACCAGCTCGCGGTGCAGGCCTTCCAGGGCTACGGCAAGGGCTTGATCAAGAAGTTCAAGTGCTCCCCCGACGCCTACGTGCAGATGATCATCCAGCTGGCCTACTACAAGATGTACGGCAAGAACCGTCCGACCTACGAGTCGGCCGCCACCCGCCGCTTCCAGCAGGGTCGCACCGAGACGTGCCGCTCCGTCAGCGAGGCCAGCGTGGCCTTTTGCAAGGCCGCCAACGACGCGAGCGTCGACGACAAGACCAAGGTCGAGCTCTTCCGCAAGGCCATTGACTCCCACCTCGAGTACATCTCGGCCGCCTCGGACGGCAAGGGCGTCGACCGCCACCTGTTTGGCCTCAAGCGCCTGCTCGAGCCCAATCAGGAGGTTCCCGCTCTGTACCAGGACCCCGCCTACGGCTACTCGAGTTCGTGGTATTTGTCTACTTCTCAGCTGAGCTCCGAGTTCTTCAACGGATACGGATGGAGCCAGGTTATCGACCAGGGATTCGGTATTGCTTATATGATCAACGAGAACAGGTTAGTTGCTCCACCCCTTCCATTTCCCGCATACATGACATCAGATGAAAATGCTAACATGTGACACTTTCACAGCCTCAACTTCAACATCGTCTCCAAGGGCCTCGGCTCCGACAGGATGAGCTACTACCTCAACGAGGCCGCCAACGACCTCCGCGATCTCCTTATCCCCACTCTGGAGGCTCCCAAGTCCAAGCTCTAAGCTATAAGCTGTAGGCTTTGGGCTAGGGCATGGGAAGTTGAGAAACGTGAAAAGAAGAGGAAGGAAAGGAAATGAAAGGCATGACATGAGTTTTGGATAAGGAAAAAGATACATAGAATCCGGAAGGCGGATACAAGGGAAGAAGAAGCAGAAGAACAAGGAAGAACAGTAGCATGCATGTTGTACCAGTCCATTTTAGCTATATATCATGATGTCTCTTTTTTTTTTTTGTCCTTTTTTTTTTCCTGTTTTCTTTTGTTTGTTTCAACTTCATATATACCATCTGTTTCTGCATCTGGTTCAGGTAGTTTTCCCTGACGGGGAGGAGGGTCAATATTAAGTGGCATATATATCTGAACAAAATTTGCATCAAGCCCCCGTATTCACCATATCTTGTGAAGCCGTACAATATGTCGATACACCGTGATAATGTTGTTGAAGACTCTTTCGCTGCGGATATTGTCCACCTTCTTAGGATGTGTTCACACAAAGACTTTGCGAACCATTCACTAAGCTGGCTGTCAGGTCCTACTCACTTTAAGTAGGTGCTTATATCCGCTTTTAGGACTACCTCCTTAGATGTTGTACAAGAGAAAGGGGTTGTCAATAGATTCTTTCTAACCTCTTGCTACTAACCAATAACCAATGAAACCACCGCCTGCCGCTCAGCTCAACTTCTTTCCTCCCCATCCCTATAACCTTCCTTATACGTTCTCCAACTCCTCATTTCGCTCTTGAGCTTCAGCGTACCTACAATATCCTTTCATCCAATCCTTACCTATACACGAATCAGATGTATCCTCTCACTTCCAAGCACTCAACCCAGCCCAAGGATCACCCCCTCCCCCTCCCTGCTGCTGATACAGCTGCTGTTGCGGCGGCGGCTGTCCCCAACCCCCTTGCTGCCCCTGTGGCCCCTGCTGCCCCGACCCCGGCCTTCCAATATTCGGATTACCCATGGCACCAGCATAATACTCGTTCCCGCCGTAATGCACTGTTTGCTGCGGACCCAGCGGCGGGGGTCCCGGAGGCGGCGGAGGTGGGACGAAGCCTGGAGGGACGTAGCCTCCTGGCTGCGATTGCTGCGATTGTCCACCCTGAGGATTCAGTGCCGAAGGGTTACCGTACGTCGTCAAGCTATAAGGGCGGGATTGGGCGAAGGAGGTTTGCGTCGGTGGCGGAGAGGCGGGGTGGCGGCCGGGGCCGATGTTAAAGCTTGTTTGGTTCGGAGGTGGGGAGGCGGGGCCGGGGATGCGGCCAAGGGAGCTGGGGTTGTACTGTTGATAGGGGGTCTGTTGCTGGCCCCCGGGGTTGTGGGGAACTTGTGTGGCTGGCGGCGAGGCGGGATACTGGGTAGAAAAGTTGGACTTTTGGTAGGCTGACAGTGGCGTGTTGGAGACAGCTGCTGGAGCGAATGATAAGGGAGCGGGCGTAGGTCGGCCTCCTGATCCCGATGAAGGCTTGGGGGAGGTCGGTGATGGGTCCATCGACATGCGCTCCATGAGATTCTTCAACCGCTCTTGTTCCAGCGCGGCGTGGGAGCTCTTGTTGGCAGCCCGGTCCTGCTCGATCTGGTTGAGAAGCTGGGCACCCTCTGCTCTACGGTTATTGACGAACGCCTCGACGTTCTTCTCCAGGCTCTCGGCCTCCTGTCGCATATCCTTATACCAGTTCTTGGCACTCTGCAGACCCGCCTCAAGGTCCAAGAACTCTTGGTAGGCACGCTTGTACTTGTTGATAACGGAGGTACGCGATCGTTGCACCGACTCGTATCGGCTTTGGTCGGCACGCACTCGCTTGTCCTGAAGGAGATTGTTGAATGTTACTGTAAGCTCCCTCATGAGAGCAGCCTGCTTGTGTGAAGCTTGCACGAGGCGGTTCTGATGAGGCCTGAACTTCTCCAGTTCCTGTTGGAAGAGTTGCTGCTCATAGTTTGCAATCGACTTCTTGTTGAGAATAAGAATTTGGGAAATATCATCACTGTGCGCCTGTTGTTTTGTCAGCTCTTGATGAACTACACACGACTCTTCATCGTGATCAACATACCTTTTGCTTCAGATCCTGTAGTACCTGCAGACGCTCCTTCTTCACCAAGCTGAGCTTCTTCAGAATATCTTCCACCTTTTGGATCTGCTCAACCACACTCGGGCCACCGTCATCAAAATCGGCCTCCAAAAGGTTAGGTTCCACGGTGGCGGGGCTATTCGGGTTTGACTTTCGCGACTTCCTGACTGCTCTCTGGAACAACTCATCGATCTCTCCATGCTGCGCGGCCTGGCGCATCTCGTCCAACTCGTTTTCGTTGGCTCTAAGCTTTGTCGCGAGCTGCCCATCACTCTTCGCTGCCACTTCCAAGGCCTCCCTATACCTCCTAATGTCCGTTCTGAGCGTAGTGGTCAACCGCGAACTCGGCTGCTGGGTCCATTCCGCATCGTACTTGGAACGCATCTTCTCACACACGCTTTCCTCCATATCCAACTGCCTGCTACTCTTATCCAGTATTGTTGAAATGGCCTGCTTTTCGGTATGAAGATATTCGAAAATCCTGTGAGGGTTTTCGTGATCCGCGACATCCACACACCATGTCCTAAAGTCTTCGTCAGGAAGGATATCCTGATCGAACCCTCCCTTCAAAACCTGAAGAGCGCCCGGAAGCCTGAGATAGTCCAGGCTAGCCGCCATCTCGCTGTTTGCGGTTTCCACTCTTTCCGTCTCTGCTCTCACCAGCTTGGCCTTCTCTTCATCGTACAAGCTAGCCGATTCGGTAACCGCAAGAGGCACAATTTTCGCGAATAGATCGGGGCCGGTAATCCGTTGAATATCCTGACCGGCATATAGCTCGCTAACGGGTATCGGTTTTGCAGCCGGCAGCTTGGGGACCGGTGCAACGCTGGCCTCGGCAGGTACGGGTTGATGGTAGATCATGTCATTTTCCTTGTTGAGTTCCTCCAATTTTTCCTTGACAGTTGCGAGGTGTCTTTTGGTCGCATCTGCCAGGATGTGGCCACAGTCGGAGGTCAAATTCGAGTTTGGGGGCACTGAGGTAGGAAAACTGTGTGCCATCTTGTTTGCTTCTTTGGCAAGACCCTGTGCAATTTCAAGACGCGCAATGGCCACGCCATAAGAGTTTGCATCCTCATCAGCGAGGGCTTGGTAGTACTGGGCGAGTGAGTTCATGAAGTTAAGCTTGATCTATTATTCTGTGTCAGTTTTGCCCCAGATTTCCCATCCATCCTGATCAGGACCCCACGCCAACACAACTTACCTGAACCACAGACAGCCAAACTTTCTCGAAAATGGCCTTGGTGACATTTTCTTGAACGCCCTCAACAGCCTGGGCGTAGAGAGCGGCTGCTTGGCTAGACAACTTGGCGAGCAGACCATTCTTTTTTTGATCAGCAATCTGCTTCTCAAGGAAGACCTCTTGCGCCTGGGCCAACATGATGCTGATCAGCGTCTTGACCGTTTCCCTGCTCAGATCGGACGAGGGCGCGTGGAGGAAGTTCTCGTTGATGTAGGTGAACATGCCGGCCGAGGCCTGGAACGAGTGGTATGCCGTCTTGAGTCCCGCCTCCTCGGTTCGCAATTGGTGTGCCGCATGGCAGGATAGAACGGCGGAAATGTTGAAGATGATGGAGGCCTTCTCAAAAGCCAGCGAATATTGCGCTGTGGGCTTGTGAGTAAAAGCGTCGAACCTACAGAACCAGCAGATGGTTAGCAACCGATGTGGGCCCCGAACACATGGTTTAGCCGCGCTGGAAGGGACAATACCATGTAAAGGAAATCTTGATGTTCTTCTCGTCCACCGGAAATCTCAAATCCAAAAGTTCGAGCTGGCCGTAGTAGCGATAGAGCAGGTCCCTTCCCGACGTGCTGTCCTTCCCGGCGCCTCGCATATCCTGGCGTAACCGGTTGAGGGTCGCACATTCTTCGGCATAGCGCTCCGGATCATCGCCGTACGTATTTCGAATGTAGTTCTTGAGGGGAGCAACCCAGTCAATCTCGCTTGTGGCCTTGAGGGGCACCGAGATCATGGGCGCCTGCACCATGTTGGGCGATTATGAGCGGGCGGTTGGAATTCAGCGTCTCGGTTCGGTAAACGACTCGATGGAGTTCGGAATGCGGGGACAAGACAAGACGAAAGTCCCGGTTCTGGCGGCTTGTAATCCAAGTTCTTGTGGGTTTTCCGTGTTGTCTTCCGCGTGACGACTGCAGCTTTCCTAAGCCTACTTTGCCGATGTTATATGGTAGACTGGGGGAAAAGGCGGAATTGGTGGTTGACGAGTTGTGAGAGGGAGGAGAGTTGCGTGTTCGTGTAAGCTTTGGGTAACAAGCCAGCTTGTGTCGTCAGAGCTCGCGTGCGGCAGAGGGGTACCTGGTACTTTGCCAACGGCGGTTGCCCTGCTGTGAATTCTGCTGTGGTGATGAGCGTTGGTGGCCGCCTGGCCGTGCTGGAGTGGACCGTAAAGTCGAGAACCACGTTGTGGACTTTTTACTTTTTTGGGGGTTGGGGAGGGGGAGATCCGGGGAACTGGTGAGGTGCAGCAGGCACAAGGCGAACTACCTACCTCTCTCTACCTTACCTTATGGTTGCTTGGTCACTACCTAGAGGTACCTTGGCGACGCTTGACGATTGACAAGACACGAAGCTGAGGTGCTGTTGCTTGGTAATATTTAAACCAATACTTGTTATTTATGGCCAACCTTTGCAAAAGTTGTCTCGGTCTCGCTCATCGTATAAGCGAAAGGGCGGCACCTCCAGGCCCCGTCATATGTTATATGTGCACAGCTTGACAGGTCATCGATAGGCGGCGGGCAGCAATGGGCGTGATGGGGCAGGCGGCAGCTGCCGGGGAAGGAGCCACCCAACTACGGAGACAGTCCCGTATAGCTTCATCCCCTGTCACCGGCCGGGCTCTCTCCAGCTGTGATTCAGACCTACAAGATTCCTCTGATATTCAAAATGGAGTTCAACGTGAAAGCCGCAAGCACTTAGCTTGAAATCGAAGACACCCAGTGAGGTTTGCTGGACCAGAATATCCAAGCGGAAACTAATCGAGCGAAGAAGAGGCAAACCAAGAGATGGATTCCATCCGCTCTCTCCAAGTTAGCCGCCGGCTGCAGATCGCTTCAGGCATATTCCTCACATGTTCAGACGGGGGAAGCAGCTCCATTATAAGACCAGGAAGGTATAATAAGCTTAGCACTGCCTAGTCCATCTTTCCACACCTC